CTGTGATTATCCTAAAGTCTAGACTAAAATCGAAATGTCATTCCATTTCTATCAGGGCCCTGAGCTTTTACAACAGCTCGCCTGTGGAGAGTGTTTTAAATATGGTTTATTGAAGCGGTTTCAAGTCAAAATAATACACCTTGTATTTTAATGTATTCCACTGCACTACAGTTTAAGTAGTTACAGAGACCCAAACCGGTTGGAAAGAGACACTTCAGCTCTCTTTGAAAGGCATGTTGTCTTTAAAAAAAAAATCTCCCTAAATGACACCATTTATCAGAAGCAGAAACTATAAAAACAGAAAGAATCGTGGCATTTTCAACATTTCAAGGGTCCTTGAACTAACCATGTGTCACATGCAGTTCCATCAGAGAACTGAACCAAATCTGACCCTTTAACACTTAAAATTGTGGTATTTCATCACAGTCACCTGAATGACACATGTGAATCGTGTCCACTTTAAAATTCACCAAAAACTAACAGTTAAAAAAAAAAAACATTTAAAACCAAAAAATTCTGCATTCTTAAGTACAATTGAGAAGCCATGACTGACTCGGCTGTGATAACCAGTAATGTGACAAAAATTCAAGAAATATTCGACTGAGCTTGGCCAAACTGCAGGTATTGTTTACACAGAGCAACGAGGAGACAAATATTTAGGTGATTTAAGCCATTACAACTTTGTTATAGGGCACAGGAGACATTTGTGAGTTCTCTCTCCTTGTAGTCGTGGTTGTTCTGTTTCCATAAAGGTGCAGGACTTTATACTGCAGTGAAAAATGAGCCCACAGTGGGTGAAAATGAGACAGGAGCAGACAGAAACTACTTGGGAAACTTTATTTAAATGAGACACAAAAGGAAATTAGTTAAATTTTCCCTGCAGCTCCCTTGAAAATATTTCCCCCTTTCCTTTTTCAGCCATCTTGTTGGCTGACATGTTTGCCACCAAAAGGACACCAATTATTATAAACAGCACTAGGCTAGCTGGAGACTGAGCTGTTTGGCCAAATGGTGTGACTGCATGGTGCATATGAGTGAAATGATTGATCCAATCCATTGTATTAAAGGCAGTGTTTGTTTGTGTGTTTCTATGTTTTTTACCATATCAGCCATGCCCGTGGTGCGCTCCTCCATCCAGTCTATGGGGGCTCGGTAAAGCTTCTTCAGGGCCGACTTCCTCTGGGTCAGCAGCTGGTCGGGGAAGTGACAGTAGAACAGAACCTTCTTCCTGTGACGGGACAGTCGCAGCACCGGGATACACACCGACACCTGTAGTCAAATAAAGCACAGATATTTACAGGTTCTCCCAAGACTAACTGTTTCCTCATTACTAGTCAGTATCAAACATTTGATGCATTCAGTGTCCTATTTCAGATATGGAATTCGTAACATGCTTCATCAGTCTGTTTGGCATCTGGCATTCTGTCATTCAGATGAAGGTTACTTCTAATGTTCCTTTCAACTTCATTCAGACATAAACACCACAGTGACGGGGACACAGGACCATATTTGTCAAACACATAAGGTTAGACAGAACATCAAGTGATGTATCATACATATTAATGCACCAATAACCAAAAGACTCAAGCTAAGCTAAGCGCACTTTTAGCGCTGTGTTGTTTGTTGTCTCTGTGATGTTTCTGTACCAATACTGGTGGTAAAATGTGGAAAAAGCCTTCCTCAAATCACCTGACAGAACTTCAAGTGTGTCGCTTGTGCATGCTGTGAATGTGACAACATGCAGTTCAGACTAGTGTTGTGTTCAAAATGATTCAGAACTAGATCCAATCTCGTAAGACTGTCGTCACATTTTTTATAGAACAGTAAGCAGGAAGCACATTCAGACATAGAGTGAATGCATTCAGATGCCTTCGGAGAAAGGAGTGCACATCTAAAGAGGGCTACAGTGTCCCTTCAACAGCAGACAGTCATGCATCATTTTACATATATCTGGGCAGATTATAACAAACAGAACAATCTAAAATGACAGCTAAACATTCACATATACACATCAATGCAAAGTTTTTCTACACCATAAAAGGGACATATTCTGTAAAAGTCATAGTGACCTGCAACCTTATTCTTTTTGGTAGTGAAGCTTTACTGATGTCAATAATGACTTTTAAAGTAATGATGTGCATGAGAGAATGGTGGCATCTCTGACAGGTTCTCACCTACTAAAGGAATTACCACCTATTTTGATCATCAAGTGCTCACTTTGACCAGTTTCTCAAGGAAAAAAAAAAAAGTCTAAATTCTCTGATTCCTGCTTCTTCAGTGTTCTTCTCGTTTCTTTCCTCCTCTATCAAAGTAAACTGACTATCTTTGGATTGTGGACAAGACTTTGGAAGACACACATTTGTTTACCGTTTTGTAAGATTGTATAAACTGAACAACAAATGGATTAATGGAGAAAATAAAAGACAGATTATTGACTCTAAAAATAATCCTTAGACTAAAAGAAAAAACTACAGAAAAATAAGCACAAGCCTGGAAGTGTCCACGTCATGTTCAGGCGTTCTAACAGGATGAGACACCACACTGCTGTTAACAATGGAAGCTGCTCTCGGGTATGAGAAGAAGTCCAGTGATCAAACAAACAGACATAACAGAGAGCTCTCACTGTGTGAAATCACTCACCTGATCACAGAAGATGACATCGTACTCCACCCCGCTGAGGAAGACCAGGTAGAAGGCGACATAGATCATCCTCAGGTAGGCACATAGAGCATGCAGGTAGCCAAACAAACTGGTGGGTAACCAGTCACCCACACACTCCTGTTAGACGAATAGAAACACTGAAATCAGATGTGTGGCTTTTAAAATAGCATAACAATCATATTCTTTTGTATTCTTCAGGTACAATATTCTGCAGTTAGGTTTGTGTGAACGCACCACAGGCAGGTCAGGGTCCAGGGTCTCAGAGAAACAGTGTTTTGGGTCATAGTGGGCCGTCCAGATCTGAACGCTGCATCCCTGAGACTTCAGAGCAACGGCAGCGTCGACCACCAGGCGCTCGGCTCCACCGATGCCAAGGTCTGGATGCAGAAACACCACCCGCACCATCCTGCGCACAAGAATGGATGCAGGTTAAATAGGATTTGGAATAAAAAATTGGGGGAAAAAAGTAAAAACATGAAATAACGGCAAATTGGCAGTCCAGATGCAGCCAAAATCAGAAATGCAAGGCTTATATGTGCAGCACAGTGACTTTCTTGATCTATGAGATACATCCAAGAAAAAAGATTATTTTCTGTAGAATTCAAACAACCTAAAATGTGATTTTGAAGAAAACAACTAACAACTCTGTTTGCCAAAAGGAACCTAATATCCAATCAACAAAAACAGTAAATATGTAGAGTAGAGCTTGTGGTTTTGTAACTAAATTCATATTTTTTGCCTGAAAGGACATCATGACTGTTTACTTAACAAAAAGATATATACCTACAGGATAAAACAGAAGCGCGTAACGCCTGCCAAATATTGAATGTCAGATGATGTAAAATTATATCACCTCTCAATAATTGCAATATTTAAAAGATTAGTATAACTAATCAGAGCTGCAGTGGTCGTCCTTCTAAAATGTTGGCACGGACAGTGCGCAGCTTGCACAATCTGCCTGTGAAAAGCAGATGGGCAGTTGCGTCAGACTTGGTACAGAAGTTATTAATGGAAATCAGAGTTTCTGTGACAGCTCGGGCAGTGTGATGGACTTTTCAGAACACCAACCCAAGAAACAAACAAACAAAAAACTTTGCTTGCCCTTTGACACTTAACTGCAACATTAAACATAAAGAACAATAAAAAGGCTTAATGAATGCTGAGAGCTCATTCTTGGGTCAAATGAGACCAGGAAATGTTTGTTGGACTCAGATGGAGTCCAACATGTTTGGTATGAACCTGACCAGGACTACCACAGTGGATGCATAGTCCTGACACAGTGAAGCACGTAGGTGTGAATATGATGATATGGAGCTGCATGAGTGTAAAAGGTGTTGGAGAGATGATATTTTTAGATGGAACCATGAATGTCTGTGGATAAACCAGAACATTGTCTGACAAGATGTCTCCCAGTCTGCAGAAACTGTAACAAGAGGAATATCCCAGCAGGAGAACCACCCATGAACAAATTCACACAAGAGTTTCTACAGCACAAAGGAGTAAAACTACGACCTGGACTAGTATGTGGCCTGACTTGAATCCAGCAGAACACCTTTGGGGTATTTTAGAGAGGCACGTAGAGCAACACAACAGTACTGATCAAATTAAAAGTAAAGTATTTACTGAGAGGAGGTACCATACAGAGATGCATTCACTTCTGTTCAGTAGTACATCCACTGCAAACTCCCTGCGTTATCAGAACATCCAAAATACTTCTAAGATAAAGAAAACCTTTGGCTGGTTCACAATGATTTCCAGGAAAGAAGTCTAACTGATGTGTAAAGCTGCACTGGTTTCATTACAGATACTAGCCTATGTAGCAAATAAAACCATTAGCCATTTAAGGCAGCTAAATTAGTGAACAGTCGTGTTTGTAACTGAACAACACAACCAAATGTCGGTACAATTTAATTATAATACAGCTCTGATTACCTTTGGCTCTCTTCACTACCTTCTCCAAGTTTGGAAACCAGTGATAATGCTCGTCTTGCTACCGAGAACAAGTGTCAGGAAACAGCGCAGTTTAGACGCCATTTTGGCTCAAAGCCACCGTTGTGATGAAGCTACTCGCGCTCTATGTTTGAGCCACTATGGCGCCTGTTTCCGCCGATGTTACGCTTCCTGTGAGACACGTCTCCTTTGAAATCCAGGCGGATAAATTTTCTGCCTTTAAATTTATGTACATATTTATATATAAATTGAAAATATTAAAAAGTGAATTTCTTTCTAGAAATATATTGTACTAGAACATTCACAAATATGTTTCCAAAATAAAGCTTTGGTCTCGAATTTCTGCGTTGAATGCGATCAGCCGGTCAGGCTTCTCTTCGGTCGCCTACGCTGGTCTTGCGTTTCGCAGTCGTGTCCTTTTTAGATCCGCGTCAGCTTTTTGGTCTCTCTTCTCAAGTTTTGACCAAATCACACATCGGCTGTCTGCTGGACGTCAGCGTGAAGAAGGACTTCAGGGTTTCAGCTCGTATCGGGACAAAGTGAACAAAATGGTAAGATTCACACAGCTTCATTCCAAACTGTTACAGCTGCGCGTGCTAACCGGCTCCACTGCATTCATTCAGACCTGAGTTAACGCTTTGCTATGTGTTAGCCAACATGCTAACCTAGCTCTTCATCTGTGGACGTGGCTGTTTCTCTCCAACTCAAATAGTATTTTAGTGCATATTTTAATTAATATAGCAACTAATTAACTAATTATAAATGTTCATGAGCACATTAGAGGGACTGTTGCCACTTACTTGATGTAGAAAACCTCACTGTAGGCTCTCAGTGAAGGCCTCTCCATGAGTCTCTGACATAAATATACTGCACAGCAAGATCAGAGTCTGATGGTGTCATGATACTAAAAGTCTCACTTTAAATCTTTGCCTGTCTAAATTTATGTGAACAGTACCAAAGCAGAAGCCTAAAACAGCAGGAAACATAATGGAATAATAGATGACAGAACTGTTGCTTTTTAGGTGATTATAAAAGAAAAAAAAGAAAATGTTTCGACAGTGTAAGTGAAGGTTGTGAAAAGAAGCCATAAACCATGATGAGTGAATTATTGCAGCATAATGTGTTTATACATTTTCCCATTGAACCAAAACTGCATCAACTCTTTACTCATTGTCACAGTGCTGGACACACACTTCAATCACCAAGTTTCTTTCTTCAGGAATTCAAGTTTGTCATTTAAAACTAGCGTTGTTCATCAGCAAATGTGTGAATGCCTAATTCTTACCAACTCGCAGGAATATGAGTTAACTGTTTGAACACTGTATTTGCCACATTTGTGAGCTAGATGAAAAGATATTGTTTTTGCCTTCAATGCAGCATCAAACTCTGATGGAGAAAAACGTTCGCTTGTCACCAAAAAAGAAAAAAAAAACAACACTTTTTTTTACTTTAAGGGGATGATGTAATTATTTTCATTATTCTGTCTGTCACATTCACTAACTTGTTGCTCTTTTAATCCTTTGAGCAAGTCAACCTGTGTGTTGACAGGTGACATAAGCAAAATAATCCATATTTAACTTTGAGCTGTGGACGATTGGTCTCAACGCTAAGTTGCCAGAATGAAAAATAATCAATTTTAAGTAGTGGTACTAATAAAAATTGGATTTAGGATCATTTTTGGCAACATATCACAATACTTTTCCAGGACTGGTATATGATACGACACCAATTAAGTGGAGACTTGCCACTTGATACAAAGGCCTTCTTCTCCATCAGTTGATGACATAAACACACTGCACAGTATCAGTCAAATGCAGGTTTCATTGTTAAAGCTCCCTATCTGAGTGGTACAGGTTTGTTTTAGCTGTGAGCAGTGGCAGACCGTAACAAAGGGACATAACTGAATGAATCCTGCTCTTATGTCTTAAATGTTTGTGTGTTTTTTTTTCCTCAGCCTGGACCAGCAGCAAGTGCAACCAACGTTGGGGCGTCTGGCCGTTCCCCCAGCAAGACCGTGGCCCCCCGAGCAGCAGCAGGTTCCACAGTCAGACAGAGGTACATACTCACAATCTGACCGCTACACGTTGACTTGTATAGACTTCTGTCTTCCACAGATGCCCACAGATAAAGAGGCTAAACCTGCCTCACACTCAGCCGTTAAGGGACCATCATCAAAACCTCAAATGAAAGAATATCTTTTGTAAGAATTATTTTTGTGATGGTCCAACAACTTATAAAGACACTATACGGTCACTTTTCCGTTGTCATTCGGTCTTTATGTTGCACACCAGAGTGGAAAAACAGACCTTGAAGCCTATTTTATATCGAACATTAACGCTTACCTTGGGCACACGGCCCGTTTTGACCCCCACCTGTTCATGCCATCATACTGTAAAGAGTGATTGATGCTTTTCAGATAGCCCTCCCCTGTATTTTTGTTTGCCCTCCATAGATTAGAGCAGATAGATGTTGTGCTGTGGGCTTAATCAGTGTGTAATCAGAAGCTCACGGTTTCCTCCCTCGCTCATTATTACCCATTACTACCACCCTCTTCATTACCTCATTAACCTCTGTTTAATCTCATCACAGGAGCGAAGCAGCCATGAATCAATCTGTTCTTTCATCACCGTTACTGTAGTTAAAATTACATTCTGGATGTGGAGTCTAAGAGCACAGATTTTTTTTCTGACTATGATGGGAGGCTCAAATTTAATGGTTTTAATTTGGTTTAGAGGCTTGAATTTGTAAGTTTGTTAAACTTTACAATCAATTTCACAAGCTTTTTTTTCCTCCCATTCCCATACAAAAAATTTATTTAACATGAAGAGTTTTAATGGTTGATGTATGTAAAATTGTTTACCTCTAGCCGAACAGTTCCTGGGCTTTTTTTTTTCTCCTCTTATGGCATTTTACCTCCCTGTAGGCGAATTTTGAGAATGTACAACATTTTTCAAGTGCCCACAGGTGTTGGAAAAAATGGTGGCTTGACACACTTTTGGTATTTAACTACGTTCATGTTTAATTTGTTTGCATACACAGCCTGTAGTTCAGACGAATAATCCCAATTTTTTATTTATTTTTTTTTAGTGGTGGGACTTAAAGGTGTTAAATGTAAATAACGCGTTAAAGTCCCACACCTAATATACTTTAAAGTGTTAATCACGATCAATTGATTACAACAAAAAAACTAACATGAAATTAACACATTTAATCGCAGTTTGCATCCAGACAACACGGAACGTTTGACAGCGCCCAATTTCATGGTCCACCGACCACATGATGCACAAGATGCGTCACTAACAACACCAACAAACATGGAGGAATCCGATGAGAGTGTATTGCTTGGACTGATGGAGGCTAAGTTTTATTTTTAACAACTGCCTGATGGAAGCCTTGACCAGAGCGTGGTTTTGTGCAACTTGTGCAAAAAAGAATTTGCATCCCACCGAAGCACATCAAGCTGACGTTACCACCTGAATGCAAAGCATGTTGCAGCGAGCACAGAAACCGCTGGAGCTGTTAGCGCTAGCAGTCCTGGATAGCGACAATGTTTTTTTTTTAACGCGTTATTTTTATTGTAGTTAATTAATTGTAATTAACATGTTAAAGTCCCACCCCTAATTTTTTTGTAACGTGACTGTTGGTTACAATTCAGTCAGTAATGGCTTCTCTGTGTTGCTGAATAGTGCAGATTTTTTTTACAGAATTTGGTTTGTACAAATGGCAAATATTTAAATGAGTAATGTCAAATAAACTATCACAATTTTAAGCTTGGATTTGGTTCATATTTCACACATAATTGGATCTGGGACCATCTGAAAGTTGGAAAATCAAACTCTTTTCTCTGTTTTTACAGTCTTTAGTGCTAATAAATGGTGTTAAAGTAAAAAATAAGGCCTTTCAAACCAGCTGGCAGGTTTTGGGGTTCAGAGGGTTAAAGGTGTTTTTGTGTGTGTGTGTTCCCAGGAAAGCCACCAGCAGCGGCACTCGCAGCGGCGGTAGGACCACCGGATCGGCGGGCACTGGCGGCATGTGGCGCTTCTACACCGAAGACTCGCCAGGCCTCAAAGTGTGAGTGTAAAAGCAGCTGCTATAAATCAGTCGTACTCGTAACACTCGCAAACAAATTTAGCCGTTGACATTTTAACTCGCATCCACTCACAGATACATACTAATCCTCAGGATTTCCGACACTTAATGGTAGGAAATTGAGCAGACGTGACTCGGTGGTAGCCGGCTTTATGAGCGGTGGATCAGCTCGATTTAAGTGTCTATATACGCACACGTAATTACATGTGTTAGGGAAGCGCACGTTTAGACGACTCTCAAACTTATATTCTGCTACATCCTCGGCCTTAATATTGGAGGAGGCGTCCTGTCTCCTGGCCAGAGCCGGTCATGACTGATCAATGGTGCCGCGCTGGTTATTGAGTGCGTCTCTCCAGCAGTCGAAGGAGGGCAGACCGGCCATACAGTGCTGTATATCGAGTGCGTGTTTGTTCCTGCGTTAGACGGCGGCCTCAAAGCTTCATTAAAGGATCCACTCTGAAAGGTCAACTCAATTACAGCCTCCTGACAGGGGGAGGAGGGGGGGCCGCGGAGGAGACGGTTGGCATGGCGATGCTGCTACTTAGCGATGCGCTCGTCCACCTCGCCTCCCCCACCTCCTCCTCTACTCAGAGCCTCCTTCAGAGATGAGAGCGCCTCCTTGTTTCCGGAGCTCATCAATAAAATCGGCCTCTTCACCGAGACTCTCGCTCTGCGCGGGATTACAGCAAACGATGGGATTCTGTGTGTTAATCTGGCTGCTCCTGCACTTTAAAAAGTAATGTTTGGGCTCAGTTGCATTCGTCTTTTTGAGTTATAACAACTTCAGCCAACAAATTACACTGAGTTAGGGGGAATTGGCTTTCTCTGTGTAAAATCATCATTCCTGAACTCGAGGTGATTGAGTTTTCAGGCTAATTTCATTCATCGACGCAGAAATTTGAGTTTAGATTGCGCCAAATATTAACTGGATGCAATTATCATCATTATTATTGTGTTAAAACATCCCATCAAAAATAATGTTTGCAGCCTAAAAAGCTCGCCTAAAGCAGCAAATTAAAATTTATCTTGCATCCTTGCATTTAATTAGGGAACAGGTTCCTTCAGTTGCTCTTCAGATTGTAGGCGCTTCAGTGAAAAGCAGCTGGACTTTTCTTTGGGTGTTGAAGGGTCTTTCTTCAATACTCAGATGGAA